AAACAAATGTAGTAAACGGCTATAGGCAGACATATAGTACAGATCAGTCAAACAAATGTAGTAAACGGCTATAGGCAGACATATAGTACAGATCAGTCAAACAAATGTAGTAAACGGCTATAAGTAGACATATAGTACAGATCAGTCAAACAAATGTAGTAAACGGCTATAGGCAGACATATAGTCCAGATCAGTCAAACAAATGTAGTAAACGGCTATAGGCAGACAGATAGTATAGGTCAGTCAAACAAATGTAGTAAACGGCTAAAGGTAGACAGATAGTCCAGATCAGTCAAACAAATGTAGTAAACGGCTATAGGCAGACAGATAGTATAGGTCAGTCAAACAAATGTAGTAAACGGCTATAGGCAGATAAATAGCATATATCAGTCAAACAAATGTAGTAAACAGCTATAGGTAGACAAATAGTACAGATTTTCTAACTCTTGCACGTTTAACAGTGCGAGGTAAAAAAAGAAAGAACAGTCATAAGTTTATGTTACGTCTTGTACAGACGTTCATAGTAAACGGAATAATCAATAGGTAAGACGTGTTACGTCTTGTACAGACGTTCATAGTAAACGGAATAATCAATAGGTAAGACGGTGTTACGTCTTGTACAGACGTTCATAGTAAACGGAATAATCAATAGGCAAGACGTGTTTCTGGAATTAATTGAATTACATTGTGTTATTGTTGTAATTTCCTATTATCACTGATAGAAAGTTCGTTGACAATGTTTAACAAACATACTACAGACGGATGTGGGACATGTGATGTTGAACAATAGAAGTAAGTTTGTTCAGAGGCGCGAAGTTCGTTACACATTTGTACTTATTAGCACATTTTCAGTGTTAAGTTCCCTCGTACTACACTGAATCACCTACTAGATTGTGTCCACTTGAAAAAAAAAACTGGCTCATGAATGAAAACATTTTCTTTTAAGATCCAAACAGAGGCATTTATTACACATTTTTCATTTCCTTATTTTCAATAAATCTCTGTACACGCGTCCGTTATGTCATACTTACACATAAATTTTCTTGTTCCGTCTAGCACGACCTAGAATAAAAGTTTTGAAGATAGATCGCGGATTTTATTGGAGGATTGACTTTGAAATCAGTGGCTCACCCCAGCCAACCAGATTGTGGACCTTCAACAACCAATCTCTGGAGTTTTCCAATAGTATCAAAGAAACAGTGACTTTTTCAGACCACTACAGGAAAACAGGTAATATTTATTTTTAATGATGTTTGAATTAAGTATTTTGTTTATACTTTAATTATCCCTATGTGTTGGTTCTTTAATTGAGTATTTGATTAATATTTTTCTCCCACTTAATTTGCTCTACATCTGTATGAAAAAAGGCTTAGGTACTGCTTATCATTTAGAAGTTTGCATAGTTCTGTTTTATTTACCTAAAATATTTGACCTCATTCGTTTCCACGGCAACAAAACATCCTACATATATCGTCACACACCCACATATTGTAAAATGGGTTCGTATAACATACCTCATTACATCCTATTCAAACGCAGAAAAGTCTTCGGAAAAAAAAAAGAGAACAAATCAAAACGATTACGTCAGTGCATGATTGTTTCTTTGTCCCCGATTCACTTCAATGATATAAACACGTGCACAAATGCACTGATTATATGTGAGAATGAGACTGCTGTATATATATATATATATATATATATATACCTATCGCGAAGCCACGATAAAGAAGAGAATCCACCTGACTTAGTGAGTCAAG